TGTGTGAAGCACTTGTGCAGCAAAACACATTGTAAAACATTTGGCAACCCTAGTTCTAGTCTACTACATGCTAGTCATGCTCCTACATTGCTGTCACGGTTGCAATCAAAAATGCCCTCACTACAAACTACCTCATTTTTAGATTGTACCTCATAATTTGTCATTTAAATACATGTTGTCACATGTTTTCATATAAGCTACTGTAGAATTTGTTTTCATGTGTTTGGTTTATTTTGTTGGTGTGGGAGGAGGTCTGTCTTTGTTTTGGTCCGTTTCTCATGTGTTAATTATATTTCCATGACCAGACTGTAAATACCTTGAGCACAGAAACCAGATCTTCCGTTTCTGTAGTGTCCGCAAAGCACAAAAGACTGAGCATGAAATTCTGCTAATACTTACTCAGTGATACATTGTTTTCGTTATTATAAGCTTTGTCCTTAACTAAAAATAGGCCATTAAAAAACTAGTCCTGGGCTGGCCGGTAGGTTTATTTGGTTAGAACATGGTGCTGATAACACCAAGTACCAAGGTCAAGGGGACAGGCCAGCTACCAAAACACAAACAAACAAAAAAACTAGTCCTAAGAAACTACATAAAAATGAAGCACCTTCTGAGTTGAGATCTCTTACAGTCAATGAAAACACCAGCTGTTCCCACTCACAAGAATTCAGTATCTAATATTGTGATTTAGTTTTAAAATGCTTATTTGTGTACTGACTGGTTTCTTTGGGGTCTGACCTAATTTCATTTAAATCCTGAACTCATCAGTTAATGGACACAGTTGAATGGCGAAATCTTGAGGACATTACATACCTTTATGCTGCTTTAGTCACTGTAATTTTGTTACAACGCTCCCTGGGCTTCAATGCTTACCATGATCAGTCTTGATAACTGTTTTACTAATTCTATTATAAAATATTTAGATGGTCCCCCCAGCAGCTTAAGCTTTGGTATATGTTGCTAAAATAATTTTATTTAGTTGCTGTCTCTTCTGTTACAAACTTGAGATTATATATATGAAATAAAGTTTTGTTTAGGCTCATATAGATAGGTGCATAGATTTACTGACCTCTAAGTTCTTCATTTTGTCCAAATCACAATGATAAATGTAACATAAGGTTTAATGAACACTCATAGCAAAGGTAGAACTACCATATCTCTTATTAGTTGTGGTCTATATAGATTTTTCAGAATGTAGTTACCTTTGGGGATCAGTATTTCATCTGGGATATTCTCTAACCCTTGCTGCTTGCAGATCAGCAGCACTGGCATCACCCACCAGGATCTCAGGCCCACCACAGTTTTACCAACTAAGAATCTGAATTTTAACAAGATTTCTACATGGTGTTTGTGCATATTAAAGTTTGAGATGTGGTGCTCTAAACCACAGATTCTGCTGTTATGGTCAACAGGGATTGAGATTCTGAGAGAGGTCAACTCTCCTAGAGGCAAAATTTGTTTCAGTATCTGTATACAATATGAGTGATAATCATTTCACTATTCCTTAGGTAAAAATTTTTGCCCAAACTTCCCACAAAAGATTATGGTAATTTCAGATAATTCCTTAATATAATTTTTGAACTCTGAAATAAAATTTTCTACTATGTAACATTTTCATATGTGACATTACATCCTGCATAGAAATTTACAGATTTATGTGTCTGTAATACATGAGCACTATTTTGCCATTGGCTACCATATCTATTTTTTAAAATTGCCACAAAGATATTCTAAGGAGAATTGAACGCAGAATCTTGCTTTGCTTTTTACTTACCAGGGTTTATTTGGCAGCTTTGGGGGAAAAAATTAGAAATCACTTCAGGATCCCGAAAAGAAATTTTAAAAGGAACTTACATTTGTGAAAAGTACCTTGTATCCTAAACCAGGTCCTCCCTTGGGGGTGGGGGGACAGGAACCTTTGCCTGTATAGCATAACTGAACATTTCACACCCCAGACTGGACAAAGCACATGAACTCCTACTCTCATTCTGTGTAAGTCTAGGTAAGACATCTTTCAGACACTATTTCCAATAAAAACTTATTAATATCCAAAAAAATCAAGGGGAGAAAGAAGATTTATAAATTTCTGACTCCCACTTGACATCCACAATTATATGGCAGGTTAAAATTCCATAACAAAGAAAAGACAATCAGGTGTGTAGCATTCATATCATATGGCCAAATGAGTATATGGTGTTGGGAGATGTAATATTAAAACTGACATCTAGATTACCGTTCCTGCCCCCAACATTAATAGCCAGAGGGCTGAGAAATGGGGCACATGAGATGAGAATCTCCACATACAGCAAGGGAGTGACTCTGTCCTGAGACTCCACATAGTGAAAGCCTGTTCCAACCCACAAAATACCTTCAGCTGCAGAGAGGAAACGGAATACCCATTCTCGACAAAACAGAAGAATCAAGCTACACAATGTGGCTCACACTGCATGGCTAATTAGTTTCTTCATCAAGACACTATTCCCTTAAGCTCTTGTTCTAGAAAAGAAAAAGTATGTTCCTGCAAACAGGGACTTTTCTCCCTTCTCTCATAGAATTTACAGGTTTAAATATAGCCTTTCTTTTTATTAGGTTCTGTCTTGGGTCCTACCCGAGAAGAGGGAAAGCAGACTGTTATTTTCAAAGGATTCAAAACCATGCAGAGGTGTGAAATAACCTGGCAAGGGGGATGGACTAATGTTAACTACAGCAATTTAAAGACTAGAAATGTCTATCACATCAGATCACTAAAAACTAATAAACAGAGCAGGCTGAACTTGAAATCAATAACATGGCCCAGGATGCTTTCTACCTGTACACTTATGCTTAGTGTTTGAGGTTTTTTCAAACATCATAAAGACTGCAGAAGCTGTGTTTTGTTTCAAAGGCTGTGCAAATGATAGTCTCAAGTACCTTCTGAATTGTTTTGTTTCACTTCTGAGTTTCACTGAACCACCCGTAGCTTCTCTGTACTAAACCAGGCCAGTTCTTCCTTCATGTTTATACTTTTCAAATACCTATAGTTCACTATTCTGTCCCTCATGTAAGATAAAGCATCCAAAAGGTGCAGTAACATTAAAAAATGGAAACTGAAAAGAATGCACTACGGGAGGTATGACTGATCCATTAGGATCTGAATTCTTTTCCTCTGGTAACCATATGAACATCATTTAAAAATAAAGATTATAAATATTTTTAACTTCCTTCCCTGAAGGACAAATAAAATTGCATACTATTTTCTTACTCTGTAACAGATGGCTATATAAATAAATACAACTTACATCTCCTCACCTACAATACCTATCTTTTTAATAAAATTTAGTGGTTAATGTTAAGAGTGATGTTATAAAGTTTCAAAGTATAATGTTTTTCTCCAAATAAAATAAATCTAGATGTAAACCCCACCAAAGAATCCAGAAAAATATAGGGCATCACTCAATATAGGATTGACTTTTGAAGCTCTTAACATTTTCAGAGAATCATATATGGGTCACTAACCACACAGAGCTTATGAAGAGAAACACAGGGAACAATGAACCTTTGAGGAGAAAATGGAAGTATCTTTCATTGCGGCTTTAACAATTGGTCCATCTATTGTAAAGAGCCAAAATTTCAGCAACAATAAATTTGACAGCAACTCGTTAATAATAAAGTCCTAACCGATTTCATGAAGACATTCTGTAAACCTTTCCTACGACTGTGAAAAAGTCAATAGTGAACCTTGACTGAGATATCCAAGGAGAATAGAGCAGAGCAGTGGGATACACATATCCTGCTGCTTGTCTGTCACCTGAAAACAAACCCAGTGCTTGCAGAAGCATTTCACTGTCAACTTTATTTTTTATTTTATTCATTTTTCAGCAAGATCTCATTTAGCTGACAAATAAGCTGCTGGGGCAAACAAGTTATCAAAGGGGCAGAAGGGTAAGTCTATAGAACATACAACCCTCCAAAGCCTGCCAGATATAAATAGAAATACTGGAGCATTCTATTACTTCCTCCTTTTATCCACACAGACCCAATAACATTAAGATATAGTCTATATGCCACATACTCAGGCAAATTAGAGAAGGATTTGGGGCAAAATATAATGCAGTTGAAAGAAAAGAGAGATGGAAAGTAAGGATTTCTAGATAAAATAACAATGATGATGATGATGGCTTTTATTGAACTCTTATTATATAAAAGTAACTATGAAAAAACACCTTAAAAATAATTTCTCAATTCGTCTGTACAATAACCTCATGAGTGTGGTACTATTATTATCTCAATTTCATAAATGATTAAACTGAGACACATAAATTAAACAACATGGCGAAGGCCACACAGAGAGTAAACACAGGAGATGGGATTTATTACAGGACTCGGACTACAAAGCTCAAGCTCTTGACCAAGGTGCTCTTTCTTACATGTCCCCTGGGACTTACATCCTGAGGGAAAAAAACAAAGGACAGACCTTATCTATAACACTTCTCTTTATTCTCTCTTTTCTCACCTGATGCAAAAGGAAAGCACTTTCAAAGCTGTGCAAAATAACCGCTCTGTGGTTTAGGTTTCTTAGCCTATCCCTCCTTCCCCCAAACCCACCACTCGGATAACATGCATTTGATTAATCTGATTCTGAATCAGCCTCATATCCAAAGACACAGCATAACAGAAAAACATTTAGGGAGGCAGAAAGCAATAACACTCATTAAGAAAAATCAGGCTAATTGGGAAGATGGGATGACTCAGGTATCAAACACTGCCTTGTTGGATCTTCCTCTGTATAAAAATATGTTTGGGTCTCCTGGATAGTGAGTTAAAGGTGTGGATATAAATTGCTGACTGACCCAGTCTAAGAATCATCAAATTGGTCGATGGCAAACAAATGAACAGCTCTGGGGCCTTAATTTGGCTTCCTAAAAAGGATATACTGTCAGAAAATCCATCTGGATTTAAGAGAAGCGGTATCAGGAAGAAATTTGAGAAAGAGAAAGCTATATTGATGAAGCCAACCTTACCTCTTCCAATGGAGAACAGCTTAATACGGCATCAAGCTTACATCCTCTCCAATTTCTCTCTGTCAAACTCAGGAGATACCTGGGGTTTTCTGGTGGAACATCCACTGAAAACAGGAGTGGGGAGTGAAAAAAGGCCAACAGCAGGCTTCAGGAGACTGAGTAGAGTTTCACTCTCACATTGGCTAATGAATGTAATGAACCAATTAGATAGCACGATTTCTGAAGTACCTGCCAGTTCTAAGAGTCTCTCATTCTGTAAGGGGACCTCAACATGATCAGTCTTTGCTTATAAAGTTAGAGTAAGGAACTAGAAGCACAGTGGGTGAAATGCAAATTCTAATGAAGACAAAAGCCACAGTCCAGCTTCCCATTGAGTATTTCAGCTGAATGTTGCTCTCTATCAGCAAAGAATTGACATGAAAATCTTAGCAGCCCAATTACTATACTCAATTACCAGGCCATATAAAGATTCGAATTATAATATATCCATAGATTTTTCCCTCAGTGCATTTCTATTTTTTTCTTACTTACCCCTGCCCACAGCTATTACTTTTAGTACATCTAAATTATCTATTATGGTGTCCCTATGGGAACTTGATTTAGTGACATCATATAGTGAGGGAGAAAAACTGCTGTCTTTTTCCATATAAAAATAAAAGCATGCATTATAAAGGAATGAGATCCTGGTACATGCTGCAACACGGATGAACCTTGAAAACATGCCAAGTGAAATAAGCCAGACACAAAGGACAAATTCATACAATTCTCCTTAATATGATATGAGGTACCTAGAAGAGGTAAATTCATAGACACAGAAGGTGGAATAAAGATTACCAGGGGCTGGAGGGCAGGGGGAAGGGAAATGGGGAGTTACTACTTAATGGGTGCAGAATTTCTGTTTTGGATGATGAAAAAGTTCTGGAAATGGATAGTGAGGACGGTTGCAAACCATTGTGAATGTACTTAATGCCATTGAACGATAAACTTAAAAATGGTTAAGAAGGTAATTTGTGTGATATATATTTTACCACAATAAAAAAAAGCAAAGCACATAGTATGTCTTTTACAATTACCAAAATGAAAAAAGAAATTGCCACAGAATTTCTCCTTAAAATATTTTTAAAAGAAGTGGATTGTAAGTTCCGTGAAGACAAGGACCAGATCTGTTTTACTCACCACTATTACACAGTAGATATTCCATAAATGTTTGTTCAATAAACAAATACTTAAAAGAAAGTACAGGAAGGAATCTCTTAAATAGGAAATATAATATTTAAAAAGCATCAAATTTACTACCTATTTGAGGGAGTATAGTGGGGTATAATCCACAGAAAAATGCCAACACTACTATACCTAAGCTCCTTCAGGGAATGGAGTGTATATATTTCACCTAAACTCCCTTCACAGCATGTCTTACAATGTCTTACACAGAATAGATGGCTAATAAGAGTTTGCAGAATGAATGAAAAAACAGTATGATTATAAAACCAATTTCATATTGATTAAATCAATGCTCTACTATTCCCCTCTTTAAAAATGAGTTACTTTTTCAAATTTACAATTCCTTCTGCCGCAGGATGAAAAAATAAACCTCACAGCTTACACAAAGTGAACGTAAAAATATAAACAGCTAGAACACATCACTCTCAGCAAAAAAAAAAAAAAACAAAAAAAAACCGCAAACACAGTGCATGTCATCTACCAAACAGAGAAAAAACTTTTTTTAAAAAAAAGAATAATTAATGTTTGGAAAAGAATAGCTTATAGTACATCTTTATTTTTTACGAAATGGTAATCAAAATAAAAGAAAATTTGAACTCTCTTTGGAAGAAAATCCACATATTTATTCCTCAAAATCAATGTCCAACCTTTACAGTAAATAATTAAGTGAATACAGAAGTACATTTAAGGATCCCCCATCAAAAAAAAACAAAAAACACATACTTATAGTGAACCATAACATGTTATCAGTATTTCTCTCAATTACCCTATCAAGTAATCAGGTGTTTTCTTTTAAATTTAGTTATGTCACAAAATTATACAGAACTAGCTTATGGCCAACATGCAAGTTACTAATGATTTTCTCAACTAACATTTGCCACCTACATCATTTACATTTTATGTGAATTACTAAGTTAAACTACACTTAAGTAGAATATTTTTAAAGCAAAAAATCAAATGCTGACTTTCTTAACATTTAGCACCTATATAATAGGTAGATCCATATAAACTCACCAGGATCATGTAACGTATTAGCCTTACTTCGAACAACATTAAATATGTGTCCTTCAACTTCAAACCCCCTCCTTCCTCCATATACTATGTGCCAATTAACAAAGGAAATAGAAATTCAACCATGATAGATGTCAAGGTATACATTTCTATCTCTTGATTTTTATCTTCTCTACGGAACAGTTAGCATCATTTTTGAGAAGCCTGTCTGCTGCCCCAGTCCTTCCATGCATGCAGGAGTTCTCCATTAGCATCCAAAATGCTAATCCTCTATTAGAGCCAGCACTTCAAGCAGAACTGCATGAAGGATTATCACTTCTGTACATGAAAGCATAACCACTACAGGTGTAATGATGCAAAATACCAGCACACTGACCTCTGCTCAGCAGCACACACTTAAATAAAGCAGGTGCATTTCTGTGTTCAAGAAGGGGAGGGGGTGGGATGAGCAGGAAGGAAGCCCCAGATCCCTAATATATTAGAGATGTTTATTCCACTCAGATCCAATCCAGCTAAATTCACAGACATCAGTTTACCCAAATGAAAAAAGTGGTCTCCCGTCCTTCACTTGCTTGACTCAGAGGGCATTCAGCCAAGCACAGCCAGGCAAAACAATCTGCAAGATCTCTTTAAGCTATAATAAATAGGACTATCTACAGAAGAAATAAGATTCAGCTATGGCAAAGAGGCAGTTGTTAAACCTTTTCCTCATCTTATCACACTGCTACTGGTGTTTACAAACTATAAGCAATAGCCTTGGGAACCTCGAGAGACTCTGCCATGAGTAACCTGTCAGATCTCTAATTTAAATACCCCTTTATCAATCTGTAATGTTTTTGGCAGTTAAATGACATGCATAAAATGAATCCTTTTCAAGTTATAAATGAGTGAGTCAGGATTCAGACTTGCCGAGATGCTCCAAATTAAAGCCCTTGCTATAATTTTAAGCATGCTCCGTCTTACCGTTTTGCTGTTGTCTCTCTCAGGCTCAATTCACCTGGAACTCTTTAACATGTCTCTAGCAATGTGTTTGCACCAGGCCAGGCTTAAACAGCAACTGAATTCACATCTTTCTGCACTAGCAAGCTGAAATGGTACGGCCGTACTACAACCGAGAAAGGGGGAAGCATGAGCAAAAAAAAAAAAAGCTCAGAAATTACCTAAGAGAAGCTAATCTCAGTGGAATAAGACCAAAAATGGTTCAGAGAGCACAAAGAACATGCTAACATTCAGTATCAATAGCTTTCACAATTCAATTTTTTTCTCAAAAAAATTTAATTTTTTTTTCTCCAAACACGATGGACTTGCCTGTGGAGTTCCCAGGAAGGCAGAGTAACCGGGCTCTGCAGCAGCATTGCAGCCAAAGTAACCATGCATATGCTGTCCAGGCAATCCACAGAACACTGTCTCTTCAGAGATATTGATTTGCAATGCAGGGCTGCTTCAAAAGAATACAGAATGGGAGCCAAACAGCTAATGGTGATTGCACAGGAAGAAAAACATTTAATCAAGGGGATGCACCTCATCATACTCAATTCAATTTTTTTAAAGCACTGGAGAAAGCCAGTGTCCTGAGTGACAACCCCATTAAACAATAATCTGAGTTCCTATAGAAGGCCAAGTTTAGGCTACCATCACTCGTGCTGCAAAAGCTGCTAAAATGGCTTAATGTGTCTATGTGCATATATTTGTCATACGCAAATGGAGCATAATGAGAACTCTAAAATAATCATGCACCAAATATGCAAGGTTAAAAAAAAAATGCACAGGTGCAGCATTTACTGAACCAAAGTGACAGAACGCAGAGTTATAAGCCTGCAGAATTCTTGGTGGGCTCAGAGCTCATACCACACTCAAAAGCAAAATACCAACACAAACCATATCTCACAATCTTTCGGCAAATTGTGCCAACTCATGCCACAAGGTGCTGGGTGGCAAAGGAATGATGCCAAACTGCTACTCTCATAGCAACCCCTACAGGAGAGTGGCTGATCTACAATTCATCCTTGTTTAAAGGATTTTTCATCTTCAGAAAAGAGAAGCACAAACGAATATATAAATACAACTGAGAAACACCTTAGGCAAAAAATTAAAAAGTCAGGCCAAAAATATGACCTCATAAATATTCACTTATTTAAAAAATTAAAATACAAGAGGAAGTAACTACTGTGTCAATGGTGAGTGGTCAATATTCCCTTAGCTCCCAGTTCTTGGTGCACACCAATGATCAGAAAGCTCATGGAAAAGTATTTGCCCTTCACTTCCTAATTGGTTTAGATGAATCATCCCCCTCCCCAACTTGCAACCCATCTTCACCTACATCACTTTGAATGACACCGTGAAGATATTTAACTTTATTTTTTTCCTTCGACACAAAAACTCATTCAAAATCTTACAAAAAGTTCTTCAAACACAAACATTATGTACTTCCTTGTTCACCAAAGCCAACAGAGAAAGCTATCTCCTTAATATCTGAAAACTATCCAATTATATGCACATCATTTCTGCAGAGTAGACTTCATTTCAACAGGTCTTTCAAGAACCTGAGGTTTTGTTTGTGATTGTTCATCCCTCCAGCCCACAGACTCTCCTTTTTCAGAACCAACAGCACTTATTAGAATCATTTAGGATTTAATAATATGCTGCCTCATAAAACTCTCTTGTATTTTTGGCATTTTCTGCATTTTAAAACCCTTGAGGGACCAGCCTATCAACTGCGTCTTTTTTTTCCTTTCCCCATTGCACATAACTCAATGCTAGGCATCTAGCAAATATTAAATAAATATTTAAAAGAATTAATAAATTTCCCAACTCTGT